AGGCCCAGAGCGCAATGTCATATTTTCTACCATTTGAATTCCGGCTTTCTGTGGCTCTCCCCCACACCCCTATCTTTTACAAGTCATGGTTTATTGTTTTGTAGAGTTAGGCCAGTCCCAGTTAATGGGGGCTGAAGCCTTCAAGTGTGGTTTAGTGCGAAGAGGCAATGAAGGCCTGAAGCAGAAGTTTCACAAAATGGTCATTTAGCCACCTATGACCCAACCTAACCGTAGCCTGTTCTTGGCTCAAACTAACCCTGGCCTGTTGCGAATGTCAGAATGTTGCAGGGGCTCCCAAGCAGAAAGCCTGAATCCAAACAGAAGTTGACTGGCTGGTCCCTTGATGAGAAGAACTGGAAGCCGATTAAACCACTTTAAGCAGGATTAATGTGCAATTTGTGGAGATCCACTGAGATTCTCCGGAGTTTAAACGATGCCCCAGAGTCTTATTGGCATGTTAATATGGGATTTTTATTTATTTATTTTGGTTTTTTTAAAATCTGTTCACAATTCCATGGGTATTTGGGACGGAAGAAGACATTCCGCAGCATTTAAAGATATGGTTTAATCTACTTGTAGGTTTGGCTGGAAATGACCAAATCACCCCTTTGGGGGCACAAATCAGATACCCGTGCCAATTAATCCCATTGGGGGGGATTTCTCCTCCTCCAGAGAGCCAGCTCCTCTTCCTTTTCAACTCCTTCGGAGTGGAAAGCGGTGCCCGTCTTGCCTAATTCTATGTGACACCCATGACCAAAAGACTCTACCTCCCAAATAGGCAGTTTCTCTTGGCTTTAATTGGGGACATTTCTTCCTTAATTTTCTTTAATTAGACAAATTGGCCGTGGCCTCCAGCAATGGCAGAGAGGCCCTCACGGTGGAAGTCGGGAGGTTAATAGCAGCTAAAAATAGCTGCTGGATAAGGGCCCCAGAGTTGCAACGGGGAGCAAACGACATTCTTTCCTACAAAGAGGTGGAAGGTGGTGGCTTGTGAGGTTCTGGAGGGCGCGTTGTGCTTGAACCCGATGCTCCTTATTTGGTTGGCTGCCAAGTAAACAGGTCATCTTCTCAAATGTTTTAGTGGAACGTCTAGCCGAAGTTGGACCTGTGTTTTTTTGGGGGGGGAGGGGGTTGTGAACATCTGGGAGGGCTGGGTAGAGTTCCTCCCACATGGTATTGAACAAGAGGGCAGGTGAGTAGAAGTTGTTTAAAGGTGTCATCGCAAGTAAAAGGAAGGAAGGAGAGAGGAAGAGAGAAGAGGAAGAAATAAGGAAAGAGAAGGGAGGAGAGGATAGACAGGAAGGAAGGAAAGGGAAGGAAGGAAGAAAGGAAGGAAGGAAGGAAAGGAGGAAGAGGGAAGAGGAGGAAAGAAGGAAAGAGAGGGGAGGAGACGAGAGACAGGAAGAAAGGAGGGAAGGGAAGAGAAGGGAAGGAAGAAGAGAGAAGAGGAAGAAATAAGGAAAGAGAAGGGAGGAGAGGATGGACAGGAAGGAAGGAAAGGGAAGGAAGGAAGAAAGGAAGGAAGGAAGGAAAGGAGGAAGAGAGAAGAGGAGGAAAGAAGGAAAGAGAGGGGAGGAGATGAGAGACAGGAAGAAAGGAGGGAAGGGAAGGGAAGGGAAGGAAAGGGAAGGAAGTAGAGATTGAATATCAGAGCACCTTTCTCCTAGTGCATACACAGGTAGTCCTCAACTTACAATAATTTGTTTAGTGACTGTTCAAAGTTATAATGGCTCTGAAAAATGAACTTGTTCACATTTACGCCCCCATGGTCACGTGATCAAAATTCCCACCACTTCCGAAGGCAACTTCTGTTCCATGGGTTGATTGTTCTCACGGTCAGAAAGTTTCTCCTTATTTCCAGGTTGAATCTCTCCTTGTTCCGTTTCCATCCTTTATTCCTTGTCTGGCCTTAAGGGGCTTTGGAGAATAGCTTGACCCCTTCCTCCTCTCTGGGGCAGCCCCTCCAATATTGGAACCCTGCTCTCCTATCTCCCCTGGTCCTTGTTTTATACTGTTATATTTCGAAGAAGCCCACTTATAACCATACAACAGGGTTTTTCAAGGTGGAGCTTGAAAATGGGTGCCTAGCGGGCTGGGGGTATTTGGGGAGTTGAAGTCCACGAGTCTTCAAAGTGGCCAAGGTTGAGAAGCCCCGAGCAATGGGACGGAAGTGACCCTCTTTTCTCTCTGCCTTCCTTGGGGAGTTCAGCCGTTCATATTTCTGTCTGAAAAGGAGGCCACCAGGTGCTATCATCGAAGGGAAGGGCTCTTCCCAGCCCCCCTCCCCCTTTATCTTCGCAAGAGCCGCAATGGATTAAGAGTGGGACAAAGAACCAATGTTTCAAAGCAACTCTTGAATAGAATGGTGTCTTTCTCTGTCCCGGAGGGTCTCCGGGCATTGCAGCACCGTTATCTGCCAGTTGAGATGCAGCGCTGCTGCCCAATGATAACACACACACACACACACACACACACACACACACACACACAGGTCCTCAGAGCCAGAGGCCGCTGCAGAGATCGTGTTGACAAAAGGCCGGCTGGCTTTGGACACAAAAGGGGGCAGCTTCGCCCTGGGAGCGAAGGAGGAGGAAGGCCTATGCCAACAAGCAAGTGACTGTGTGGAAGTGTCTGCAGGACCCTGGACAGCTCCTGCCAGCCCGGAATGGATGTTGGGAAGTTTACAGAGCCCCGTTCAGCCTCCTCCTCTTCGCCTTCCTCTTCCTTTTGTTCTTCTTCCTTTTCTTCCTCCTCCTTTTCTTCCTTCTCCTCCTCCCCATCTTCCTCTTCTTCTTTTTCCTCCTCCTCCCTTTTTCTCCTCTTCTTTTTCCACCTCCTCCCTTTCCTCCTCCTCTTCTTCTTCCTCCCCCTCCTCCTTTCTTTCTCTTTTTTTTTCTTCTTCTTCTTCTTCTTCTTCTTCTTCTTCTTCTTCTTCTTCTTCTTCTTCTTCTTCTTCTTCTTCTTCTTCTTCTTCTTCTTCTTCTTCTTCTTCTTCTTCTTCTTCTTCTTCCTCCTCCTCCTCTTCCTCCTCCTCCCCCCATTCCCTTCTAGCACTGATTATGTTCCCTAGTTGGGTCATGAAATGTCTGCAAGAAAACAACCAAGCTCCGAGACCACCAGGGACCCCACATTCCTGTCTTCCTCCTCCTCCTCCTTCTGCCATATCCATCATCAGACGTTGGTGATCGTATTGGTGATTCTATTTTTATCAGCAGCCGCATGAAAAAGGCCTGCTGAGTTTCGTCCAAACCAGCTTTAGGTTTGTAAGCCATGAGGTTCTTCTTCTGCCTGGACCTCCTTTGCCTTCCATCTTTCCTCGGAGGAGGAGGATTAAGTGAAGGAGGACGTATATTTCTGGGTGTCACCTCACCTGTCCAAAACATTCTGACTTTCACTTTCTTTTTAATGGTTTTTATGGCTTCCGTTGGCTTTCCCAGGCGGCTTATCCCCTCCTCATTTCAGTCTTGCAGGGATGCAAAGGGGGTATTCAGGGGAGGGAGGTCAAACTGGAACTTCTCCTTTCCTCTCCACCCCACCACCCGCATTTCCTTCTCTGCGTTCAAGGGCCGGGAACAGGGCTCCCGGATGCTGGGCTGCCCACCTCTGCAAAATCCAGCTCTCCAGAAGTGTCGCCCTCCAGCCTCAGCTGGCAAAGGGTCAGTTGCAAGGCGATGCACACTTTTGTGTAGTGTGTGTGCGTGTGTGCGTGTGCGTGCGCACTCTCACCCATCTTGGACTTACTGCTCCCACCAGGAGGGGCTCCTTCTGTCTCAGGAGAGGGGGGGCGGGGACGGGGGGGGGGGGGGGGGGGAATCCCACTATCCAAGTGGTTCAAAATAGCTTCCCTGTTCTTGCTTGGTCCCCAAGTCTTGGTCCAGCCTGGAGGAGACCCTCCTCGGAGGCTCCACAAGGGG